ACTTTTTTTTTTTTTCCTTTCCTCACCCTGAAAATCGCGTGGCAGTGATGCAGGGAGGGAGGGGGCTGCTCGGAGCACCCCCGCGGAGGACCGGGCACATGGCGTGGCCCCGTGCCCGGCAAACAGGAGGGCACGGGCCCGTGGCGTGTGTGCCCACCCGTTCCACCCGCTGCCGTGGGGGGGTCCGGCTCCTCGCTGTGCTTTGGGTTTGGTTTTTGGGTTTGGTTTTTTTGCTTTATCCAGCTCTGTGGGTCAAATCCCAAATGCAGATGAGAGAAGGAGAGACAATCAGCCACCACGACCTGAGCCAGCAAAGCCACGGGGCTCCTTGTGTGCTCTGAGACAAGGGAAATGGCCCCCAAGCATCCCCCCGGGGCTGAGACCTTTGCAGGTGATGCTCCCAAGTCCCCATCCCTTGGGGTGACCTCGCAGCCCTCTGCCCTTGCCCTGCATGGAAAGAGACGCTGAAGATGGTGCTTCATCAACACCCAACTGGACGCAGGGATGGACTGAAGAGACCCATTTCGGAGGTTTTTCTTCCCAAGGATGTGGTTTGGGTCAGAGGGACCACCCGGCACAGAGGGTCTGCCCCTGCCAGGCTTTGCTGTGCCACCCAGCCTGGCTCTTGCCCTGCACGGAGGCACCGCTCTGGTTGAAGGGGTAAGAAGAAAAAGGAGAGTCCAGCCAGTGGAAGAGGTCCTGGAGGACCCCAGCCCACCCGCAGGTCTCAAGGGACTTTGGAAGGTCTCCTTGCCTGCCCTAGACAGCCAGGAAGCTTTCTGCAAATGTCCAGAGAGACGCTCTGAACAGGGCTGCATCCCCTGCTCCTTCCTCCCTCTGCTCCTCCTCATCCTCTCTTTGCTTAAAGATGGGAGGACAGTAGTGGTAGGGAGTCACATCTTTGGAGGTCAGGAAGGCGATGGGGGCCTGGAGGAAGCAGTGGTACCTACGTCTTTCTGCTTCCCTACCACTACCAGAGCATTCACCTTAAAATGCTGATTCCTCAGCCCTCTCCAGCCTCTCCACCCCTCCGTCCTTCGCCTCTGTCACTAGAGGTGGCCCCAAAGCTTGGCCCACTGTGAGGAAAGAGATCTCAGCTTCTTCGGGTCCCACCAGAAGCAAAGTAGGTTGTTTATTTTTTTGTTAATCTACGTCTCTTGTCTAATGTGGTGTCCCTGCAGTCTTCACCTTCTCCATGGCCAGCACTGAGATGCTCAGTACCAGGTGGTGGTGGGAGACATGGGACCCCCTGGCCAAGGACCTGGGTTCTAGGAAGAGATGATGTTTATTGCAGCAGCACCATTCATCTACTAACCAACCCTCCTGCCCTCCAGGGAGCTCTGCGTCTCCCTCCGTGTCCCACATCCTCCTACGAGACCTTTTCCAGCATGAGCTTTGGTGCTTGGAGGCCAAGACCTCATTGCCGACTGCAACAAGGTCTCACCAGGCTTGGATGCAATCCACAGTCACAAGTCCTCAGACCTTACAGACACCGGCTGGGATCCATCACAGGGCATGAACCGAATGGCTTGGGAACCCCCGGAGAAGCCAAGAGCCAAGCCCTCTCCCCTGTCCTGAGCTCACCAGGACTCGCTGGATCAACCGCAGGCAGGCTGAGCCTTGCCCCACGCCGGATCTGGCTGTGCCTGCTGCCCACATCAACCAAAATGCCTTGAGGAGCAACTTGCCACGATACCAAAGATTTTTTTTTTTTCCCCTGCAGGTAATGACAATCTGAGCTCTGTCCTAAAGACAATTCTCTTGACCAGGGTTGCCCCCAAACGGCGTTTTTGTGCTGTGGGGAGCAGGAGCAAAACCAGGGCCCCAGGGGCACCTCCGAGGGCGATGGAGAGTGGACGGTTGGGAGGTGAGGAAGAGGAGGGGACCTGGGATCTCCCACCGAGACCTGCTGATCCAGCCTGGCCCCCCTGTCCTACTTTGACTGTGGAAGTTTTCAGGGATTTGGGTCATTTCATTTCCCGTGACACCTCTCAGGCACTCTGGTTCTACCTTGGGTGGAAGTTTTCCACCGATGGCTTTTGTGCTTTGAAAAGCCACCGTCGGCAGCGGGGCAGTGCTGTCCCCGTCCCACCAGGTGAGCAGGAGGAGCGTGGGCTCCTGGGGCTGGATTTTAGCCATTGTCACCCTGCTATGGCACAGCCAAAGCTGAGCTTTTCCTGCCCTAACGATGGCTCCGCTGATGGGACATCGGCACAGAGCGGGCCAAGAGCTGGCGTCTCTCCATGCCAAGAAATGGCTTCACAAAAAAAAAATCACCACTCTTCCTGAGCATCTGAAGCCTGGGTGGGGAAGACGATCGGCTCCTCGTTACCTCTCTCCTCAAACGACTTTGGGCACCATGAAGATGCCGCTGGGCTGAGTTGGCTGCCGGCACCGTCCTGGCCGCCCTCATCACCGCCGCACATCCCCACCGTTAAATTGGTTCCTTTTCCCTTGTCTCAGAGGACACCCGCAGCCGAGGCGGTGCTGGCGGCCGGCGATGGGGCTGGACCTGCAGACGCTGCCACACAGAATCCTGTTCTTCTTGCGTCTTTCTTTGGAGTTTTTAAAGAGAGGAAATTAAAAATGCAAAGAACAAAATTCAGGGTTTTGTTGTTTGTTTTTCTTTTCTTTTTCCCCTTAAATTTCTGAAGGGAAAAAAGATGTCAGATAGAATTCATCCCGGCCGGGAAGAACCCGCAGCCTTGAGTTTCCCAGTCCAGCCACCTCCAGAAAACATTGCTCATTCTTCTGTATAGCAATAGGCA